TAAACCAAAAATTTGTTATAGCAGGTCATGTTTGTTCGGTCAAGTATAGAGCAATTTTTTCCTGAACATGTGTTTGAAATATCAAATTTTCTGAGTTTAAAACAGTTCAAGTATCAAGGTACCACTGTAAAAGTTTTGTGTTGTACATGATTCATGAAATGGGCAGATATGAATAGGTACAACTACTTTCTTGGACCCAAATTATAGTCCTAATTGGACTCAAAGTCATACTTTCCAAGTGTACACTACTGTGTCAACCACAAGATGTTTATTTTTTTAGGCAGTTGAAAAATTTTATAGCAACTCCAAAACAATCTGATGTTACTCCAAGGAAATTGAGAGCGCTACACTGGGCACATCCTCTAAAAATTCATGCACTGGTATATAATCAATTACAGGTACTTTAATGATATATTGTTACGTGCCCGATACCCCTCACAATTAAAAACAGAAAAAAAAACTCTTTTCTTTACAATTAAAACACACATCATTAAGTGTGGTTGTGGCAAGATTCCTATGTTTATTTGGTGCACATGTTGTAGAAAAAAAATGCATGCTTTTATGACAACTACCACCCACAATATACGTAAAATTTTGCCAGAGAACATTGTGAATGAGTAATGAGAATTATATATATAATTCTCATTACTAATTATATATATATATATATTATTCACTACCTTCAAAATTAACCCCTTGTTTGTAAGTAAATTATTTGGTTGAAAATAACAATAAAATAAACTATGATGATTTCAAGCTAATTTGGTTATTTTTTTTTATTTCTCACTATAAAGAAAACAAAAAATTCCAGTGGGGTTGACACAAGTATAGAATCTGTGAATGAGTGATCAACTTGATTACAACTACCACTTGCTGACTATCAAACACTTGAGGAATTTCAAGTTTAGAATTAAAGAAAGAAAAAAAAAAAAAAAAGCTAATTTCCTCAAAAACTGTCAGTTTTTGGATGTAATATATAATATATTTATATTACGAGGTGCATTCAAGTTATAACCCCTCCAATTTTTTTTCTTAGGACTGGAAACAGATATAAACATGGGTTTGTTTTAAAATACGCGTGCACTTGTGAATGCATGACAGAGATGGCAGCACTATAAGGTACACAGAACACTAGCGGCAGCAGCAAGAGTGAAGACTGTTTTTGATACTTAAAATGGTGATGTTTTCATTACAAGAACAGNAATTAAAAAAAAAAAAAAAAAAAAAAAAAAGCTAATTTCCTCAAAAACTGTCAGTTTTTGGATGTAATATATAATATATTTATATTACGAGGTGCATTCAAGTTATAACCCCTCCAATTTTTTTTCTTAGGACTGGAAACAGATATAAACATGGGTTTGTTTTAAAATACGCGTGCACTTGTGAATGCATGACAGAGATGGCAGCACTATAAGGTACACAGAACACTAGCGGCAGCAGCAAGAGTGAAGACTGTTTTTGATACTTAAAATGGTGATGTTTTCATTACAAGAACAGCGTGTAATCATTTGTTTTCTCTATTTGAGTGGTGTGACACTGATTGAAATTCATTGCCAGTTGAGTGAGACATGTGGTGATGGTGTCATGGATGTGTCTAATGTGTGTTCATGAGTGTGACAGTTCAAAGAAGGCAGAACATCATGTGACAACAAACCAAGGAAATCTCAGCCTCTCACCAGCTGGTCTAACAACATGATCAAGTGAGTGGAGAAAGTTATTTTGGAGGATCGCTGAATGAGTGTGGAACACATCGCCTCCAAAGTTGGCATTTCCATGGGATCTGTGCACACAATCCTGCATAAAGACCTGAAAAGACCAGCACATTGGGTGAACGTGACACTGCAGTTTCTTTACAACAACAACTTTGAAGTGATTTCTCATGCTCCCTACTCACCTGACCTGGTTCCTAGCAACTTTCGGCTGTTTCCAACAATGAAAGACACTTTCCATGGTCACACATTCACTAGCTGTGCTGCTATTGCATCAGCGATTTTCCAGTGGTTAAACCAGACTCCTAAAGAAGCGTTCGCAGTGGCCATGAAATCATGGCATCAACATTGTGAAAAATGTGTACGGCTGCAGGGAGATTACATCAAGAAGTGACACAAGTTTCACAGTTTTCATGTGATTAGTTTGTGAGAAAAAAAATTGGAGGTGTTATAACTTGAATGCACCACATACAACCAAAAAATTACTTGTCATTTCAATATCTACAATTTTCTGGGTCCAAAAGCAATCTATCATTGTGATCTAATGTTGCAATTTTTTCAAATAAAATGCAAAAGTGGAACCTACAGCTTTACAGAGGATACGTTTTAGTGCTCCAGATAATCATACAAAAGCTTGTTGAATTCTCTGTTTTGAAGTGAGAGGGCCTTATTCTATCATTGCTAAGCAAACTTTGTATTTATATTTCAGTTCTAACCCATCAATAACTACTTTGTGCTTGGGAGTCAACTTACACAGCAGAAGTAGATGTAAACTAAAATCCTGAGATTAACTCACATACAGCATATTAGATAGTTTTAAATGTTTTAATAGATCTAAAATTAAAGTATATCCTAATATGTTATTTCTTCTTATGAGATCAACTAAATAAATAATTATTTAAAAAATTTAATAAATAAATAATCAAGATACTACACCATTGCATTGTATTAATTCATATTAATATTTGTTGTTAAGTTCCATCGAGTCGTCGTCGACTCCTGGTGACTTCATGGACATGTCTTCTCCATCTTGATCTTTCCCTTGTTGTCTCTCGTAGCTCATCCAGCTTCATTTCTGTGACTTTTTCTATTTCTTCTATCCATCTTATCCGTTGCCTTCCCCTCTTCCTTCTACCTTCCACTTTTCCCAGCATAATAGTCTTCTCTAGGGAAACTTCTTTACGCATCACATGTCCAAAGTAGGTCAATTTTTGTTTTAAGATTCTTGACTCTAAGGAGAAGCTTGGCTTAATTTTTTCTAAAATTGAGATATTTGTTTTCTTTTCTGTCCATGGAACTCTAAGTAATCTTCTCCATACCCATAATTCGAATGCATCTATCATTTTTCTTTCCTTTTTCCTTAGAGTCCAGCTTTCACAGCCATATAATGTTACAGGGAAAACCATTGCTTCTACAATTCTTTTCTTAGTATGAATGGAAATGTCTTTATCTTTCATTATCTTGGTGAGATTTGCCATGGCTGTTCTGCCAAGATTAATTCTCCTCCTGATTTCTCCTTCACAACTTCCATTCCTTTCTATCTTTGAGCCCAAAAGTATGTAACTTTCTACCACTTCAATTCTTTCACCATCCACAATGAAATCTTTTAACTCTTTAGTTGACATTACTTTAGTTTTCTTTACATTTAGCTTCAAACCAAATTTAGCACTTTCTTCTTTTACCCTTATGATAAGTTTTTCTAAATCTGCTTTGCTTTCTGTCAAAAGGGTGGTATCATCTGCATATCTTATATTATTAATAGTTTCGCCTCCAATCTTGATACCAATGGACTCTTCATTTGTAGTAACCATTCTCATGATATATTCAGTATATAAGTTAAACAGATATGGAGACAAAATGCAGCCTTGTCGCACCCCTTTCTCAATTTTAAAGCATTCAGTTTCTCCGTATAGAGTTCTTACTTTTGCTTCTTGTTCATTGTAAAGACTCATCAATAAAGATATAAGGTGTTCAGGAATTCCCATGCTCCTGAGTACTTTCCATAACTTGGAGTGATCCACACAATCGAAGGCTTTACTATAGTCTATAAAACAAAAGAAGGCGTCCTTCTGGTACTCTTTTGCCTTTTCTAGAATCCATCTGATGTTGCTAATTTGATCGCGAGTTCCTCTTCCCTTTCTAAATCCAGCCTGTTCCAGTGGCAATTCTCTTTCTAAATATGGCTCAATTCTCTTCTGTATTATTTTTAACAGAATCTTACTTGCATGGGGAATTAGTGCGATTGTTCTATAGTTGGAACATTCTCTTGCATTGCCATTTTTTGGGATTGGTATAAAAATGGATTGCTTCCACTCCTTTGGCCAAACCTTCTTTTCCCATATTTGTTGGCATAGCTTTGTTAGTATTCTAATTCCTTCCTCTCCAGCTGCTTTGAGCAGTTCCACTGGAATTCCGTCAGTTCCTGCTGCTTTCCCAATTGAAATTTGGTTGATTGCCCATTCCACTTCTTCCTTCAAAATTGATGGTTCCAAAGTAAAATGTCTTCCTTCAATTATTTCTTCTATATTATTATCTGCTTTATAAAGCTGTTCTGTATATTCTTTCCATCTTCTCTTTATTTCACTTTCTTCCATTAGATCTTTTCCATGTATGTTCTTTAAAATACCAAGCCTATTATCATATTAATATACCCATCCATAGTTTGAGAACTATGGACAGGTAGGAAGTTTTGTTGTAAAATTCAAGAGGTAATAAAATATCACTTGACTAAATATTTTAAAAGTATCATGCATCACACATGCATGAGTGAAACTAGCTACTGATACATTTCAAAATTCCTCAATGAGTGAACTGTCACTGATCTGATCACTCAAAAATTTCACAGCAAAATTGTTTATTTATAAATAGTACACAAACATTTTAAGTGTACTATTTATAAATAAACAATTTTGCTGTCATTCATTCATTTTATCCAATATCTTTTCCTTTAAAAAATATAAAATATCTCTAAATTCAAAAATTTTTTGACCTACAAATGAGGAATTTCATGTTCCTATTTTTGTTTGGTCTTCTATATATTCTATCATCACACTTTGTTTTATATTCTTTATAAAACAAAGTGTGATGATACTACAATTCTTTTACATTTGTATCAGTGGTGAAGTATCATATTACTTACTATATATAACACACCAAAAAAACACTATATTTTACAAAGTAGTGTCTTTACTGTCAACTATTAAGTTTTAATTAAATATTCAATTCATTGTAATTAGAAATTGTATATCCAATAGTAAATTCCTTTCACAATATATTCAATAATCAACTAACCTGTACATAGTTTCTGCCTCAACATCTCCAAACCAAACTTTAAGATTCGGAGTGAAATTTTCTCCAGCTAATTCTAACATAGCCACATCACCACCACCATTTAGCTGTTCAGTAAAGAAAAAAAATATTTATTTAATATAATTTTTGTCATTTTCTTCTTGAACTGTACATAAAGTATGGTAAAACACTAGAAATATAAAAATTTACTAATTATTGTTAGAAAAACAAAATATTTAGTAGGAGATTAAATTAAAAACTGGATAAAAATTTAAAATTTCTAACAAAATTTATTTAAATATTTTTGGGATCAAATTTAAAAAGAAAATTATAATTTTTTTATTGAAAAACATTAAAAAAATAAATAATCCAATAAAAGTGTCAAGATTATTTTCTTTCAAGATCTACAACTTAAGTTATTAATTTTTTTTTGTAATAACTGAATTTATATCCAGTATTTAACTATACTGGATATAAATTCAATTTTAAATGACACTAATATTTATTTTACTGAAGAAACAAGTTAAAATTTATATATGTATATCATTGTAAAATTAAAAATTTAAGAAAGTGTTTGTTGAAAGTTTTTAGAATATATATTTTTTCAAATACTGTATACATTTACTTCCCAGAAAAAATTATTTTACAGATTTACAAACAGGAGCTATGGAATTCATAATGTTCAGGTAATATTTAACTTCATACTATGCATTTAGGGGATAACACAGCCATCATGCATTTAATATTAATTTCACTACATTATATATAAAATAAATTGGTATGTTTAATTCAAGTTATGACTATGCTTAACTACATATATATCTCATATAAATGTTTCACTATTATAATGCAATATCCTTACACCATTTTATTATTATTTTCTCATATTTAGAAACATACAAATTATAAATTTAATTAATAATGAAATAAAAAAAAAATCACTTCTACTTTATGAAATAGAAACTACATAAAAATTAACACAATTACAACTTTGTGTTTGTCAATATTATAAATATTTAATTTTGATACAAAATATTAAAAAGTGAAAACAACAAACACAAATCTTGAAGTTTGGACAATATCTAATAATCTATGTACCAATGCATCCTAATTTTTTAATCAACCTATAAATTTTACAAGTATATGATTGGCATTAGCATTCCCATACTGCAATTTACATATTTATTGGTTTTAGCTTAAAAACAAGCTTTAAAAAAACAATAAAACTAAAAATCAAAAAGTGTTGATTTTGTTTTTCCTCTTATCTGCCTTTTATCAGAGACAAAGAACTTACACCAAGAATACTCAAAACAGAAGAAAAAACAATAATTTATTTTTCAAAAACAGCTCTGCATTTTGGGTGAATCTTCTACAAATATTGTCATCATGCTCTTCATGCTTTTTCCATTTATTTTCCTGTTCATACACCATCAAATGCATAGCTTGTTTTTTTTTTATATTTTACACAGATTACTTTTTATATAATTTTATATTTACTTACATGTAGACTATGAACCACTGGTACAGGCGTCACAGGAGTCTTAACAGCACCCATTCCTTCATAAAAAGTATATTCAGCTTTATCAGTACTAATAATGGTCCAAGAAGCACCATCATTAATCATTTCTTTGTTTAATTCTTTTGGACAAGGAGTAGCCTTAATAGAATGTGTAATTATAAGCATATATCATTACATTAAAATTTGTATAATAAAATATTAATATAAAGTAAATACATACATGGAACTGTATTATTCTTTCCTGAGATAGACATAGATACATTCTTTCAGTATCTTTCATATAAAAAGCACATTTATGAAGTTGTGACACAGGATCATCTGCATCTAGGAGAGCAGTTTGCTTGTCTACTTTTCTAATAATCTATTATTATAAACAAACATATTTCAAAAAACAGAATTCAGTACAGTGCTTTAAGAGTTAAAAAATTAAAGTTCATACCAAACGAGGCAATGCCATTCCTGTAACTGAACATACAAGTTTTACAGTTGAACCATAGTGAATATAGCCATCTCGTACTGTGAATTCTTCTGATTCTGATTCATTATCATCCACTGAAAATTTTAAACAACATTTAAATTACCTTCAATTATATTATGGATTAAAATGTCTAGACTAACTTTGAAAATTAAGTGACAGAAATATCTACTGCTACAATCCATGAAATTTTTGTTGACTGAATACCATATAAAATTTTTTTTAAATGGAAATAGTAGTCTAAAAAATATGCAACTTAAATACATATTTATAGTTAGATAAAGTAATTTAATATAAGATTAGGAAAGGAATGGCATAGAGAAAAGTCTCATTCATTTTAAGAAACTAATTGTATAAAAACTTTACTAAATATTCAGTTATTCTCAAAGGTGTGAAAACTGATAGATTCAAAACATTGTCACTTGCTTTTAGAAAATGTTGAAATGTTCATGTCTTCGTTATTATTGCAATAATGATTTTTAAAAATGCACACTTTTCCATTTCAAAATAAAAACTGTTAAAAACTGCTAAAAATTCTGATACTTTTTAACATTTGTTATTTTGTGGTACTTTAAATATTAACAGTAGTACTTTAAATATTTATTGTTCAACAGCTTTTAAATTTCATTAAGATTATATCTTCAAAGAGGAAACTGATAGGAATATAACAAAATAATAAAAAAGTTGTCTAAATTTTATATAAAATATATATACAGTTCTTAACAAATAGGTTTAAAAAATAGTTTCTTACTTTTTGTTATTCATATTCTTCCTATAGTATAAATCTTGACCAAGACATTAAAAATGTGTTTATGTAGTGAAATTAAATAAAAAATGTCAACAGTATATAAAATTAAAAAGGATTATAATTGATATTTTCAAAAATATTAATGATTCAAAAAAAAATATTTGTAACTGTATTGAAAAGATTCTAGTTTTAAATCATTAAAACTTATATTAGAATTAAGAAAAATATATGTAAAGCAAGAATATGTAAAACAGAAACAATTTAACATATGGTTGCATAAAAAATGCAAAAAAGATGATGTTTGAAGGTACTGGCTCACAATAGGACTAAGTAAACAAATAATCCATGTTTCATATGAAGAAAGAAATAATCAAATAGAATTGCAGGGAGAATTTATAAATAGTGTGATGAATATTCAGATTAAAAATTATACATTAGCATAACACGATTAATACACTGAATTAAACATTTAACAAAATATGAAATAGCTATTAAGTATTTTTATAAATTAAGATATATACTGGGTATTCCCCTCAAACCTCTGTAGTTTTAAATTGTGTAAAATTCATTTGTGCAGACAGAAAAATGAAGTATGTCAGAAAATGTTGGTCAATACTTAATACTTCTTAATACTTTCATTGTATATGTGAGAAAAGGCTGCCCTGCTATGTGATCCAGATCATTAGAGTGGTTGAGGCAGACTCATTCCTTGGCTTGTCCAATCATCTGACATCATCCCCTCTGAACATTTTTCTTTAAGAATATGCCACGGATCATGTGGATGATACAAAAGTACCAGATACTAGCTCTGCTTACAATAATCATGGATGCTTTGACAAATTTGACTCCTGACAATTAGCTTGGACAGGGGCTGAAATCAAGTACAGAGTGTAGATTATATCACATCATGAATATGTGGCACATGAATTAATTTAATGTAACTAACTTTTTCAAATGCACTTTCTATTACAGTGCTATATGCACATTTTCTTCAAAAATTAATCCACAAAATTAGGGAGGTTTGAGGGAGAACATCCTGTATATTACTATTAAATAATTAACTTTATATTTGAAATTAATACTCACAAAGGTGAATAGTAAATGCTCCCCATTGTGTTGAACTGGCATGAAAGTTGCCATTTTCAACATGTAAATAACGAGTACTAACTGTTTGTGATCTTAAACGGTTAAAGAGTGCTACTTTTGTGCCAGATGCAATACACACTATAAAAAATTAAAAACTGTCAAAAAATGTATTTAAGTTTTAATTGAAAATAAATTAGAATAAGAAAAGTAAGTTATCAAATACACTCACAATCAGCATTTTTCAAAGACTGTTTCTTTTTAGAAGGTTTTGATATTACTTTAATTCTTTTGCTATGGAAAACACCAATATCTTCTCCATTACCATAAAACATTTTTACAGAAAGCATGAAATGTTTTCTTTTATCAGAATCACTAATGTACAATGTTTTAGCAGCACAATAATTCTGAAAAATACATTAATTATAATTTATAAATAGTGATAATTAAAGTAATCTTAAAAAAAAAAAAACAACTTTTAATAGTGTGACAGAATTCTAACAAATACCTAATATTTTTGTTATTTACAGTGTGCTTCAAAAATCTTAACACAAGAAATGTGCTTTCAGATTCTGAAGAAGACTATATATATTGACAATGACAACACAAGTGAAAACTAACATTGCAAACAAACATTTGTTACCTTGTTAGTTTACTGTATTCTGCATTCTGCTTCCATTAAAATAATATATGTGTGCTAACATTTTTTGAAGCATTCTATTATGAAATATTTTGATTAAACTAAGTAATGATTATTTGTTGTTTTAAATATTATCTAAATGATAAAACATTTTTAAAACTTCTATCATCAAAGCTGAAATCAGAAAAATGCTATTTACAGTAGGCCTTCAAATTTGACAGAGTATGGATTTAACAGATAAAAAAAATTTGTTCTAAAAGAAAAATTATAATCTGTTTTTTATTTATAAATAAAGAATGCTTAATTAATTAATTTAATTAAAAGGTTAGTCAATAAGTATATATATAGATTTTATATATATAGTTTAGATTACTCAATGTTGTTTTAACATTTATAAAATAAATATTAAAAAAATATACATAACAAATAAATAAATAAATAAATAAATATTAATATTTGTTAAAACAACATTGAGTAACTTAAACTCACTGTACAGGATTTTTTAAAGTATTTTTATACACATTATAACATTTTAATACATCCTGTACATTTTAAGTTTGTTATTAATAAAGGCTTTTAAAATACATTCTATTTAATGGATTTCAGCAATAGCAGACATCTCTTTTCCTAATTAGTTCCTTAAACTGAGAGCTTGCTATATATAAAACAACAAATATTTTGACTTATTCAAGTGGTAATTTTTCATGCAAGACTTTCAAATTAAGAACATGATTAATGTAATCATAATTTGACAACTTCACAAATATAACTAACTTCCAATTATACAAAAAGCACATTCTTTTTAGTTTGTCCTATGATCATTGAGATTTGGTATTGGAGTGAATGACCAAAAAAATTTTTTTGCAAAATTATATATTATTTTTGCAATGTATATTATTCTATCTACAATTAAATTATTCTTAAAAATTCATCATTCAAATTTATTTTTTAATGCATTTGGTCCAAAAATGATTTATGTTTTATTACTAATAATACAATATAGCTTTATTTAATAAACCAGCAAAGATATATAATAATAAAGGCAACAGCCTGTCACTGTAGAGGATTCCAGAAATTTTTGATGAACAACCTGTTCTGGATGTGTCAGACTCTATCTTTACTTCCTAGCCATCCCATTGTGGACATGGTTAAACCCACAATGAGTCTGAAAAAATGTCCTCTTAGTGCTCATAGAGCAAAGAGAGTAAAAAAATTTATTATTATTAAAATTAATTTGTAGACTGATTATTCCATATAAAAATGTGTTGATTATATATAAAAAATAAAAGAAAATCCTTCACTATCAGCATAATCATAAAATAACATAATAATTTGTTATAAACTTTTTATTTGATCTTGATTTTATGTGTGTTTAATAACTAATAAATTTTTATAAAAATATGCAAATAAAGGTAACACTCAACTTAATAATTGGTTAGTAAGGTTATAATATACTTTTAAGATTACAAAAGTTAAGCACAAGTTACATAATACAAGTTAAGCAGTTAATAATGGAAGTTCTGTACAAAGTGTTAAAAAAAAAATTATAGTCTTTTACTAATATACAAAAACTACTTTTTGTAGTATGTTAAAATGCATACAGCAATATTTGGAAACACCAAAAGCATAGATTAAACTGAAAATAGACAATAAAAATTGACTTTTTGATATTACTGAAATTAAAACTGGCATAAAGCATCACTGCACATTTAACTTGCAATTTTTGTTTGTTGGCTGAAAATGTATGAACATCTGAATTTTCATTTTGATGTATGTAAAATGAGTTAGGAATATCAACTTTAGCTTTCATATATAGTACTTTATCTGAAAGTTAACTCATTAGAATTAGGCAGTCCTTAACCAATTTTTGGATAATTAATGGTAAAAGTTTTCAAGTACAGTGGGTGATCAGATAATGAACAAAGTCTTGGAACAAATTATGTTCGCTAACCAATCATCCACTGTCGTTATGCAATTTAAGTTTCTTTAAATGTATTAATAATGCCATGTTGTATAATAGTATATAGTATATTTTACTATATTAAAAACAAAAATGCAAAGATATTTCAATCTGTCTTGAAGAGAAAATTAATACCATAAAAAGTAAAACAAAAATAAAAATGCATTCGTTTTTTCCCATGAAAATTTTTAATAAACTAAAAGCAACAGTAGAACAAAGATTGTAATCTTTAAGTAAAATAAATTATATTAATAATTTATATTACTATTATTACTACAAATTTCTTTCATATTTTGAAATTTTTAAATAAATGAAAAATATTGGAATTATAAATCAATGTATTTTAGAATAGCCCAAAATTCATTAAATATAATAATATTGGGTTGTTCGAAAAGTAATTTCGTTTTTTTTTTACCGCTAGATGGATTAGTTGTATTATCGCAGAAACAAACGGCAACCAGTTGTTGGAAACACAAAAGGGTATTTATTCACCCAGAGAACATACAACTATTGCAGCTTGCAGTACGAGAACAAGAACCACTCTCAACCTGAGAGCTCGCTGTTATATACTACAGAGACATGGTAGATATATGTAAATACTAACAAATTACCATGTGTTCTCAGACCGGGAGAACGTACCAACAAAAAAAAACCTGCATCAATGAGGTTTGAACCAAAGACCCTCACTCAATAGGCGAAGACGCTGACCCCTACACCATGAACGATACAGTGGGAAGAGCGAGCCGCGGCAGTATTTTTTCTGCCATTTTCATTCTAAACCATATTATCATTATATATTTTGACAGCTAGCATTTTAAGGCTTATTCGTAAAAAATTTTGTTTGATTTCGTGCAATTGTTTATTTTTTATGTCCCATCAAATATGGAAGATCAAAAGCAGCATTTTCGGCATATTTTGCTCTTTTATTACCGAAATGGTAAGAATGCTGTTCAAGCAAGAAAAAAATTGTGACATGTATGGAGAAGATGTATTGACAGAACGACAGTGCCAAAACTGGTTTACAAAATTTCGTTCTGGCAATTTCAATATTGAAAATGCACCACGTTCTGGATGGCCAGTTAAAGCCAATGAAAACAAAATAAAGGTACTGATTGAAGCAAACTGCTGAATAACAACACGTGAAATCATTAAGAGATGAAATCTGTCAAATTGAACTGTTTATTATTACTTGAAACAAATTGGTTTCATTTCAAAGCTTGATATACGGGTTCCACATGTTCTTAAAGAGAGATGCTCTCTTTGGTTGGATTTTAAGAAATTTTTTTTTTGGAGCTTTTACCAGACAATTTAACAATTGATTTGAAAGTGTACTGCCATCGAGTAAACAAATTGAGTAATATCATCAAACAGAAAAGGTGGCAAAATTGATCAACAAAACAGGTGTAGTGTTTTACCACGATAATGTCAAATTTCACACAAGTTTGGTAACTTGTCAGAAACTGTTATAATTTAGATGAGACCTGCAATCACACCAACCATATTCGCCAGATCGAGCACACTCAAATTATTACTTGTTCCAGTCTATACAAATTTTTTTTAACTGTAAGATATTTACTTGAAATGACAATGACAAAAATCACTTGGATCAGTTTCTTGTAAGCAACGATCAAAACTTTTATGAATGTGAAATCATGCTACTACCAGAAACGATGACAAAAGGTATTTGACCAAAATGGTTGATATATAATTCAATAAAATATTTATTTATTATAAAAATAGTGTGTTTTTTTCCACAGAAAAAACGAAATTACTTTCCGAACAACCCAATATACTGCTGAGAAAATATTACCATCAAAATATTATACTTTATTATTAATCATTTCAGCAAAAGATTGAACATACCTTGCCATTGAAATCAAGTTGTTGCATTTCTTGGTCTGAATTTCCAATGCCAATAAAAGCACATAATTGCGCACCTTGTTCTATTTCTCCATCACGTATCATTTGTTCTTGCTTTTTCCTCCAACCATCACCCAAAAGATAAATACATGGAGGGGGGCAGAAAAACCTGTAAAATTATAAAGAAAATTAACTTAATATTTGCATATAAAAACTTATATGCAAATAATACATAAATCATATATATACATTAAATTAATAGATATTTCTCTTCAATACAGTTTTCACTTTAACCATATTAATTATAATAGCTCTTTCCCTTTCTAAATGTGTGTTTATATTATTAACCACTTTGCCAAAGGATATATATGATCTAGAACAATATTTGATATACAAATAGTATGGGATTATATTTCCCAAAGTTTTTAAAAATTTATTCGGTTTCCTTGAAGATGCACAAGCACATTTAAGTTTTGTACTGTTTTCTCTTCTCCAATTAGAATGATTTTGCATTTGTATGCTTTGCTATGTATATAGTTAATTGATTTAACTTGAATAAATAATTATCAACAATTCCAACATAAATAGTAACATCGAATAGTTTATTAAACAGTCAGGTAACAATAAGTAAATTGAAGGATCACACTGACTACAAATACTATAATCACTTGAATATTTGGCTTAAAGTTAATTGTTGTATTAACACTTTTAAGATAAGTAATTAGCAACTTGTTTTAAAATTATATGCTAATACAATAGTTTTGTTTGATTTTTATGCATCAATTCTTTTTAAAATTAATTCTTCATAATTTGAGACACAGTAAAATTTAGATGTCCATGCTTTTAATAAATAATTTCATTTTACTGTAAAATTGCAGTAACTAATGCACCATATGCATGTAGTTGTGCAATGCTGGAAAAATCTCTCTAGTGCCTAAATGAATATTAAAGTTCTCTTTATAAGCATATACTTACAATAAAATCATATCACAATCTATAAAACTTGTACTGTTTTCTGAAAAATTATTATATTATTTATCATTATTATTATTAAAACCACAATTTCCAAAAGAAAAAATAATTGAATTCACTGTTCATCTGATACATGATTTAAAATTAAATAACAATTTCCATATTAATTTTTGTTTCTAAAGTAGATTTAATACTAAACAAATTACAATGATTTTATAAGTTTTTGCAAGAGTTTACAACAAACTAAAAATATGACATTATACTCTCTACATGTTGTAAACATAATTATAATAAATCATTCACATAAATTTTAATATGAAATATCTACCAGTTTTTATTATAAATTCTAATTAAACATAAGGAAAACTATTGAAATGTAAGAAAACTGTATTTCCCATGTATTTTTCTATATTGCAACATACTTTTGGTGAAATTATATATAATCTGATTTCTCATACTTGAGAAATTACAACTAAGAGCAAAATATTAAAGATATTTATTGGAAAACTTTAAACATTAATATTTGACATCCTACACAAAATTAATGCATAAAAGATTTGACAGAAATTTAACAACAGAAAGATTACATAGATTGTTATGCATTGTTAATTATTAAATAAACATCATATAATATACAGAGGTTTTGATTATTCATTCTGGTGTTATGTTTAATTTTGAATTATAAACAAAACTCAATAGAATGTGTTAGTGCAAACCAAAATATAACTTTTCAAAATTTATTACTAACCTTTTCTCATTACCATATGATTTTTGTGCAACTTTTGCATGAAGAATTACCAAAATCATATCTCCTCTCTCTCTCAAATATTTCTTCATGGCTTCCCTAAAAAAATATTTTCTAATTTTAACAAAATATTTGTATTTAATGTTTTTTCTATCATGTTTTGATTAACATTTATAAAATCAGTAAATAAAAAACAACAGTTTTCAAAAATATTGAACATGTAGTAAATATAAATAAATAACAACATAAAAAAATTTTAAATAAACATATCTGGTTTTCACTTCCTACCTTGTTAATCTTTGGTCTTTACGTCTGTAAATAAATAAATAAATAAATATATTTAATTGCACAAAATTTTATCATTTTAGTATGATTAAAAAAATTAAATTTAATTAAATTAACTTAATTAGTCAAAACACTAAGTAAATTATGACATTTTATTGAACAATGAGAAATAATAAAATATACAAAAAAAACTGTTATGAGAATATGATTATTTGTTGTACTGTACCAATGTGTATCATTATAAAATATTAATATCTGGAAACAAAGTAACTGGACAAATTATTTCTATAAAGTAATGAATAAATTATTTGTATAAATAAATATAAAGAATAGAACTAAGTAATTTGAAGAAAGTTTCTAATAATATTTGCTTAATGGTATAAATATTAAGGATAAATTTAATAATTGTAATACTTTATTATTATTATAAAAGTTTTAATATGATAAATGTATTGGTAATTCTATGTATTTTGATCAACATAAAGTTGTCTTAATGTTTTTGATTAATACAAAATTGTTTTTATTAATAATAATAAAGTAATCAATATAACTGTAAAAAAAATCAAAATTAACATTGCCAAATAATAGTTTTTATTTCCATGCAATTTTATTGAAAATTTGTGATGTATTTTTTCCTTGGCACTTTGCTTTACGTTTACCAATTAATTTGATTTAAAAAACTTATATTTTAGTAGTAAATAAAAATTTAAAATATTTGGTATTAGACAACAAATTAAATTTTATAAATATAACTGAAAATAATATCTTGTATAAATAGTGAATATTGACAGTTACTATTAATAAAATCACAATAACGTTTGATGCCTGATGGTAAAATCTGTACAAAGAAAATATAGATGTAATGTTAAATCAATTCTGTTCCAATTCTAAATATATCCAAATGTTCCAATACCAGTTCAAAAAATGTAAATCTTTACTTTAATAGAAGTTTATTATAAAAGGATTTTATTGCATTAATAAAAAAATATAATAAAATAGAATTTTAATACAATATGTATATATAAGAATGTATATGTAACTTATATTATTTATTGTATAATTTGTTATATAAACAGAGAGAGAGAGAAATTTAATCAAGTTAATAGGTAGACTATTCATAGGGATATTGTTTCTGCACATGATTGTCTCAAGATATAATTTCTGAATAGTGATTAGGATTAGATGATATTTATCAAAGATCCTTATTCTTCTTCTAAAAACTCAAATTAAGATTACAGAAACAAATTTATATACAATTCTTATTTATACATGGTACTTCTGAAATAAATCTATATTTCATATCCCAACAAAATACTTAACTGAATTTGAATAATAAGAAAATAGAATCTGCATCAGATATCAAGTATTTATACCAAAATGCAAATTAATTCTATTTATAAAGAAGAAAGGTATTCAATCATGAAAACTTATGTAGCCAATCATCCATTTTGTACTTAACTATTGCAAGAAAAGTTTAACAACAAGAAAATAGCATTCACATGTTTAATGAAAATTTAAAAATTGATTTCTTTACAAGCATCAATGCATCTGAAAAACTGAAGTTAAGCATGCAACATTCTAAAAAAGCTTTGTAATTTCTATGATTATTTTTATAAATGCTACAATACGAAACTTGCAAATTTTGTCACTTTACTTGATACCTCTATAGTTTAGCCCAGTTGTTTTCTATGGCATAAATTTAAATTTTGTTAAGCAGAAAAATTATAATATTGTAAATGGTGGTGATAGATAGTAAGACATTTAACTATATGCTCTCCAATTCATAAGTCTAAACCTGTAATATGGTCAATAAATACTTTACTTGTATAAAAAATAAGGCTTTGTTTTCATTAAATGCTAGCATTCCATCAATAAATTCTGTTTTCAACCAAATAGATTTTATAGATGCTCTGTATAAAAAATTATTTTTACCATGATATAAAACAATTTCTTCAATTTAATTTTCAACTCATATTCAATCACAACTCACTCCTCAATTTTAAATCAATAGGCCTATTTTGTTTGCATGTAGATTTTCAAAGTAATTTATAAATGTATTAATTCTGTTATTAGACTTATTTGCATAACATAAAAAGTTGAATGTTTACTCTCAAGCAAATAAACAATAATAAAATTGAAATTTAAAAAGAAAAATACAAGTTTATTGATGTAAAAAAATAAAATGCTATAGAAACTTTTCAGTATATAACTATCTGACTAATCTTCTCCAGTACTAATTTATCTGTTTTAATATCTTAAAGAAGTTTTCAATTTAAAATAGGTAGGTAGAAAAATTACTGAGATAGCTTACTGAGATAGCTTTAACTGTCTTCATTATATGAAAAAAAAAATTAATTTAAAAAGTTCAAATGATAGAAAAATAAAGAAGAAAAAGTTCAAACATAAGAAAGATAAATAACAATGTCTGTTTTTAATATTTTATCATTTGCTCTTTTATTTTTATAACATAAAAAACAAATTTTATATTTTGTTAATACACTTACTTATTTCGATGTCTGTCATCGACTGGTGGAGAAGGGGTAGGTAATGGACTCGGAGGAGCATGACCACGTCCATGTGCTAACATTGGAACACTTAATGCATTAGAGGAATTCAAAGATCCAAGAGAATGTTGATCTCCATTTACTTTATCATGAGATGTCATAGAACCAGAAATAAGTTGCATTGATGATTCTGGAAAAAAAATAAATAAAAATAATAATAATAATAATAATAACTTTTTACATCAATTTATTTTGTCATATCTGATCAGGCATGTAATTTTAATACTGTAATTTTCCAAAGACAAATTATTTTGTATAAAAAAAATGAATGCATGAAAAACTTTAATAAATCATATTCACTCAACATTCTACTTAAATAGAAATTTATGTAATGTAATTTAATTGTCTTGTAAACAGAAAAGTTACAAATCATATATTTAAAACTTGAAATGAAGTAAACTGTTATAGAGATAATTTAATGAAATTATAAGGAAATTGATAAATTAACCTCAATATTTCCATCATTCATAAATAAATTTTTTATGTAAATTGATTTAATGCACTTCAATTTTTAAATATTTATTTCTCTTAATTATTTCTCTCTATTCTAACACACACATTTTAAAATAGACAAAATTGTAAATTTTCATGTATTTTACAGAATTAGGTCTTTATACTTAAATAATTTTCTGCCTAAATCCTTTCATTTAATAAAATTAAATTTTAAAGTTAAAAAGCTGCAATTTTAAACTTATCAGAGATGATTTATTTATTTCTGTTTGTTAATTATATTTTGATTAAATAATAATATGTATCAGTATGACAGTTACTGATAATTTAACAGACTTTAACAACATTAAAAATAATCCCTCATCAAACCTTTTAACCAGTATTAAACAAGAGTAAAATTGACTGGTCTTCGTTCTAACGAATTTTAAAGAATAGTTGCTTGAGAAAGGACCCAGGGAGGGATCCGAAAACATTTGCATGTAATTTTACTCTTGTTTAATACCGGTTAAAGGGTTTGATGAGGGATTATTTTTGTATTTTAATCCGGTATTTGAAGATTCTTCATTTATAGTGAGTTATGCCGACTTATACATATCACAATATCGTCATAAGCCTTACTAAGGCTAGAGAGAGATTCTATTTTTTGAAGACCTGCAAAGAACTGCATGTATTTCCAATGTCCATTTATCACATTCAACTACCCCAGGGAAACGAACCGTTGATTTCCAAGTTCAGGTGGATGTGCATGAATAGAGCACTTAGAACCACCAGGAAACTAATGTATTCCAGNTAATAGAGAGGTTGAGGCGCACGTTTTAAACGTGTAAACATGTACGTGTGACATTCGGCACCGCTTTCCCATAAGCCTAAAAGTTTGACGATGGTGTCTGAAATGTCGAGCGTGATTCCACCGACTATCCAAACACCATTGTCAAACTTTTAGGCTTTCGGGAAAGCGGCGCCGAACGTCACACGTACACGTTTACACGTTTAAAACGTGCGCCTCAACCTCTCTAATAATAATAAACTAAATGAAATTAAATTAGCAGAATAAAAATTTCAATAACGGTTTTAGAAATGTAAGTTATTAATGAAAAATAAAAATTCATTATAGCTTCAAAACAAAAATTTTTTAACTTATTTTATTATATGCAAAGCAATTTATGAAAAGGTACCTTAAACCAAAAAAGTAAATTTTACCACAGAGTAAAAAAATGCAATCTAAATGTTGTTAAAATAGTCAACTTTTAGATTTCAATGTCAAATGTTACTAGTAATGTTTGGCAACATTTTAAACTATAATCATCATCTTATATATTCCTCTTAACCTGTAGGATAAGATGCATTCAAAAAATAAAAACTGATTTTTCCAACTTAAGGTACCTTTTTATATATTGCATCAAATTAGTTTATTTATATCATAATTGACGACATACAGGGCAATTCATAAAGATGGAAACACCCTATAACTTTGAAAATTGGAACAGGAAGTTATGTTTATAAACAAGAAAGTTTATAAAAATTTTCACTTGTCATTAGTAAGTACAACACAAAGAACATTTCTTTTGTTATGTTAAAGAAACTTCTCTGCATAACATTCATTCTTTGAGTTTGTATAAGCTATTCTGCACTGCTTATAAATGTAAGAAGTTGATTTATTGTTTCGCAATATATTCTTGGAGAAATTTAAGCAATAAAATTGATTTAAAGCATGATTTAGACCAATTTCATCATTCCCTACAACTTCACAATTGGAAAATTTGATGTATCTGCTACAGTAAATAAGATATTTGAATGCCCTTCAAAATGAGTTGAGGTCAATTAAAATGTCATGAATAGATTTGTCATATATGATTTATTAATGACAAGTGCCATATTTACAAATGTAACTTTCACATTTTCATCTTTTATAGGATGTTTTCACCTTTATGAATCAAATTGTATACTTAAAATACTATAATTATGTAATTTTTATAAGATTGCATTCATTTCATTTAGTTATAAATAATTTTATGTATATTTTAAAAAATTTTATTTTATATATTTAATATAAAACAAAAATGAAATTGGATAATTAAATTTAGTACCAATATTAGACATTGTAAATTATACTTGTAATGTCTATTTAATTTTAAGGATATGTAAGCTTTTCCCTTTTTAAATATATATCTAGCAATAAATGTTTTTTTTTAAACAATACACAATAAAGATATAGTACAAGATAAGGCATAGATAAGGCATAATAAGGCATAGATAAATGAGCAAGTAAAAAAAATGATAAAGTGAAGTGGAAATTTTTTCTCATAGTATTTTCGACACACCTGACAGACATCATAAGATGAATGCAAGAGAGTTCTTGCTACACTTTTCCAGTTTTTTTATATTTTAATCTGTTGTTTAGATAATCATCTTTCTGTTAACATACAGTTTTGTCATTTTAAATGTAATTATAATAGTTATCAATCCTAAATACAAAGAATATCTAGATTCTTGCTTAAATGAAATATTTATTATAAGTTCATTATCTCTAATTTATTATAATTCTTAAATTGATAAACACAATTTGCATATTTCATGCAAGAAATGTTTTAATTAAGCAAATGATATCTTTTTAAGTATATACTCATTTGCAAAAATTTAATTTACAAAATACAATATCTATTAATGTTTATCTTAAACAGTCATTATATAGTATACCATATATATAATGATGTATAAAGTTGTTAAGTACTTTAAATTAAAACTTAAAGTATTTAACAAGTGTTTAATTTTAATTACTTTTCTACATTACTACAAAGAAGATATTGGACATATTTCTGAAAAATTAAAAAAAATTTCTAGATATTAATGCAATTATTATTTTAAAAAAAAGGACTTTTCTGCATTTTCTAATATATCCATGAAAGTATTTATCAATTCAATTTTGACAAAAGCATGAATATCATGTCTATAAACTATGTTGATCATGCATCTTTATCAGCATATATTCTTATCAAACAACAAATTAAAGCATCAGACAGCTTAATTTAACATATTATAACATATAAAATAAGACATGTTTTGAAAGGAAAAATACTGTAATAGAATTATCAGCAAAATTAGTTTAAAAGTGTTTAAATTGAAATACAGAGCTAATTAATAATTTTGAAAGATTTTTCCTCAAGACATGTAAACCTTACAAAACTTATTAAAACAGGTCCTTAATGGGTAAAAAATTTTGTCCTAAAAGAAAATTTAAAACATTGTTTTTTTTACTTGCAAATAGAACAGCTAAAAGGTTGTCCAATGAATCAATGAATATAAATTACTCACTTTACATTATATTACTTTATTCATACTTATACATTATAGCATTTTAATACATATTTTATATTATAATAATAAACATACATGTTTTTAAAATATATGGCATTTAACAGCCTTTTGGCAATAGCAGACAACCCTTACTCCAATCTGTCCATTAAATTGAAGACCTATTGTACAAAATCCTTGTTAAAAGTCAAACAATTTCTCAGCAGGCTATTGAACAATTCAATTACTTTTAATTAATTGGTAGTGTACAAAAGATAATCCACATTACAGTGCCAACATATCAATATCAATTCATAACAATGTCCTTTTAATCTCTAAAGCTAACTTTTATTGAAAATTATTTTTGCATCATTTTACATAGCTAGCTATAATCATCATAAAATTCAAAAAGAATATTAGAATTCTTTACATTAACAAAAATAAATGACCTATAAATATATAATAATCATAATTTAAGAATATGTCATTAATCATGATTTAAATAAATAGAGAGGTTGAGGCGCACGTTTTAAACGTGTAAACATGTACGTGTGACATTCGGCACCGCTTTCCCATAAGCCTAAAAGTTTGACGATGGTGTCTGAAATGTCGAGCGTGATTCCACCGACTATCCAAACACCATTGTCAAACTTTTAGGCTTTCGGGAAAGCGGCGCCGAACGTCACACGTACACGTTTACACGTTTAAAACGTGCGCCTCAACCTCTCTAATAATAATAAACTAAATGAAATTAAATTAGCAGAATAAAAATTTCAATAACGGTTTTAGAAATGTAAGTTATTAATGAAAAATAAAAATTCATTATAGCTTCAAAACAAAAATTTTTTAACTTATTTTATTATATGCAAAGCAATTTATGAAAAGGTACCTTAAACCAAAAAAGTAAATTTTACCACAGAGTAAAAAAATGCAATCTAAATGTTGTTAAAATAGTCAACTTTTAGATTTCAATGTCAAATGTTACTAGTAATGTTTGGCAACATTTTAAACTATAATCATCATCTTATATATTCCTCTTAACCTGTAGGATAAGATGCATTCAAAAAATAAAAACTGATTTTTCCAACTTAAGGTACCTTTTTATATATTGCATCAAATTAGTTTATTTATATCATAATTGACGACATACAGGGCAATTCATAAAGATGGAAACACCCTATAACTTTGAAAATTGGAACAGGAAGTTATGTTTATAAACAAGAAAGTTTATAAAAACTTTCACTTGTCATTAGTAAGTACAACACAAAGAACATTTCTTTTGTTATGTTAAAGAAACTTCTCTGCATAACATTCATTCTTTGAGTTTGTATAAGCTATTCTGCACTGCTTATAAATGTAAGAAGTTGATTTATTGTTTCGCAATATATT